ACCGCATCCAGCCTTACTTTTAGCTTCAGTTGTAAAGGAGGAGGGCTTCACAAGCTGCCTCCTGTTCTTTGTTGGGTTTGGTTATCAAGTCTCTTCAGGAATTCAAGGCTCTACAATAGGCCGATATGTGAAAAGCATTCTTGGTCTATTTTTAGAACGTGCTAATGAAACTATATGTTTTTCGCTAAATTGCAAATATATTCTAGACATACAAATTAAAAACTAAGGTTGAATTTGGGAGGTTGTGCTGATTTGCTAAATGTGGGGAGCCAAAAATCAACACGGTTTGGGCAAGAAGCCTTTCATTGCATCACTTAATTACTTAACAGCAGTCTGATTTCTTTCTTTAGTCTTGCTTAACAACTGTAATACACATTAGGTAATCCCATCTTATGAGTTGTTCACATTGTTCTGCTTAAATAACCCTTCATGCCATTAGCATACTTGTGATTTGACTTTGCAAGTATTGGGTCATGTTATTTATGGTAGCAGTGATAGAAATTGGTAGTAATTATATAAATTCTAATAATAGTCGTAAAAATAAAAACAAGAGTAAACAAAAAATGTTAGTAAGATTATGTTGATTGCTTTTTTGTTACAAGTTATTGTAAAAATCTTTTAGAGTGAAAAAGTTTTCCACATCTTTCATGGTAAAACACCCCTGTGGAATGTAATTTTAATGGTTGTTTTATTAATCTGTTTTATAATAAAACTTAAATAGGTTTTATTTTTGTCTTTTAGCATATCTTTAAGGGAAGACTAATTTCAGTGTTGTATTGTTTTTTTTTTTTATGTGTCAAAGGACAAAAAATATTACAGCGTTTGGCACCAAAGTAGCGTTAACAGAATTTGAGATAGTGTTTACATCTCTCAAAACCTCCTTTATTAAATAGTTTAACATTTTAGCAATTCATGGCTCACTTCAAGTTTGAACTCATATTAGCATAGATAGCTCAAAGTAAAAACTGCAAGCTTAAGATGTTACAAGTCTATTCTCCCTTCATAGACTGCAAGAATGATGTATTATGAATTCTGACTCATCTCCTTTTTTTTAGTCTTTTCAGGACTGATGCAACCACGTCTGAACCAGACAACTCAGGGAAGTTTGTGGCCAGGAGAATCTGCAATGGTATCATTTATTATTACACTCCAATGACAGCAGCTGAGCACCAGACAGTAACCCTCGCCAAAGACTCTCAGGCCACATCAACTCTGTTGCCTGTCTCGTCTCCAGTGTCTTTAGAAACGCCTTCCCGCACAGCTGTTTCCTCCCAGATGCAGTCAGATGCTGCTTCCAGTTCTCGCCCTCTTCTCCTGTTCTTCTCCTGGCTTGGTGCCCAACCTGGGGCCGTAGCAAAGTACAGGGAGCTCTACCTTGACCGTGGTATGGATGTTCTCCTCATCCAGAGCAGCGTAATGCACTTCCTGTGGCCTCGATGGGGCCTCAACTACGGGTTGGAGATTTTGAATATTTTAGAGGAGCCTCCTTTCACAGGAAGGCTCATACTGGTGCATGCTTCTTCCATTGGTGGCTATACTTTCACACAGCTGCTCACCCACATTGCTCAGCAACCAAAACAACACTCTCCTCTGGCGCATAGAGTTATAGGGCACATTTATGACAGTCTAGTGGTCGGCTCTCTGGATCACATGGCAACAGGTGAGTGAGAGTGATGCACCACGATTGTACTGGAGCTCAAATTACTTTTGTGTTGTGTGTCAGAACTCTCTATAATTAATTAACTGTTGACCTACTGCCCCACTTTGTCTGAAGTACACGATTTCCAAGTTGTTGTTTTTTTTCTATTTTAGGACAATAGTCAGTTTTAGTAACTCAATCTTTATTTTTTGGGTGCTAATTTAGTCCAAAGTAAATATTCCAATACTTCAACCCATGAGATTTAGCTCTCTCACTTCATTTACTTAGGTAACAATTTTTAAGACTAATAATTAAAATAAAGATTTCTGTTTTAGCAGATGCTTTTTGTGACTCTATGCAAATTATAAGCAGTGTTTTGCAAAAATACATATTCTTGAACTTTTCACTACGTTCATAATTACAAACAACCACAAACTCAGATGTAATTTATCACAATTTTATGTGACAGACTAATAGAAAGTAGTCTATTATTGAAAAGCCTATTCTGTTATTGACTTGTATTAGCCTCTAGATGAACACTGACCAGGTTCCCCATCTCTGCACCATGATGCTGCCATCACCAAATTTTACAGTGGGGTTGGTCTGTTTAGTGTGACGTGCAGACTTAGTTGTCTTAGGATGCTTTATAGAACCGCTCTGCTTTAAACTTATCTGACATTTCATTCCTGACCTGCCTGCTGTGTCTCTTGGTCTTCATGTTGTTGTTTTTTTTTTTACAGCAAACAGCATGAATACAGCAAACAGTCTTGTTTGTGAAAACCACACGTAATTGCTCTTCACACAACAGTTGAGAACAAATTTCACCCAGAAAACAATTTAGAAGTATCACATTAAAAGAGCCTGCAGACGTATCCATGCAACACTTTCATTTTCATTTAAAAAAATGTTTTAAAAAAAGGGATACAATTTATTTCCATTTAAGAACTATGCATTACTCTGATGAGCTATCAAATAAAATACATTGCAGCTTGTGATTGTAGCTTGACATTATCTAAAAAAGTTCAATGCGATCAGAACTTTTGCAAGCCACTGGCTATATATCCTGTTATTTGCTCTTTTTGTGTATAAACAGCACAACTAGAAGTGGTGTACTGTCCAGTTAGTGCATGCCATTGCAGGAATAATGCAACATTACATTTATAGTATTCAATTAATTGTTTTCCAGGGCTTGGGAAGACCTTGGTGCCACGTTTAGAGGTATTCGTCAAAACCACCGCCATGCTCTACTTCAGGCTCTTCAAGTCGTACACTGCAGACTTGTACGAGAACAGCATCCAGGTTTTCTACAACAGCCCGGTTACTTCTCCTGCCCTCTTCTTCTTCAGCGAAAACGATGCAATGTGCAGCACTACTGTCCTGGAAAAGCTGATGGACTTGTGGAGGCGGAGGGGAGTTTCTGTGGACGGCAGGAAGTGGAAGAAGTCAACACATGCCGCCCACCTGCGATGCCACCCAGAAGAGTACGTTTCCACATTGCAGCAGTTTTTGAACTCCCTGTCAGTTCCTTCCCATGAATCTGACATTTAAACTGTGTGGCAAATTGTAAGTTTCAAATATTTTCACTCATTTCCACGATATGCACTGCTAGTTTAAAGAGAATGCACTTTTAACTATTTTCATATACCTCTGATTTTCTTTAAAAAAGTAACTGTAAAATATTTTATTCACCTTTAAGTCGTCTTTACTTTTGTCATTGTAATTGAGGTTATATTTGAAGTATTTATGAACGTACTGTAACACTTGTTTGTCTTGCACAATAACTGTTTTGTTATTTGTTGATAAAAACACATACTGCACAAATTAAAAAAAGAATTTGGAAACTATGTGCGAGCTTTACATGAGCAAATATTTATATTTTTCATTATTTCAGATAGAAAATAGCCATGCGTCTTCACTTTCCTTTATGTCCCTTTAGGTTACTGTGGTGAACAGATTTTATTATTTTAAACCTGTCGGTATCACCAGTGAGTAATCTGAATTAACACAAGAGTAGAGGAGGGTTGGCTGGAGGCCATTGGTGCAACCAGTGACAGGTTACTAAAGGGGTTTTGTTCCAGTTTACTGAAGTGAGTGCATTTGGGCGGAGCCTATGTCAATCAGTGATAAAATAGGTCAGAAATGCAGTGACCAGATGTACAGAATATCAGTCCATTAGGATGAGCGTAGAGATTATGGTCTTTTGTTCAATGTAAAATGCCTCACTGAGCACAGATTCATAAAATGCACTTCTTTTTTGAGTGAAGAGAAAAGCACACAAAGCAGACAAAAGTGTCTCAGTTAATGTCATCTATAGATTGTACATTTTACTTTAGTTGCTTTGGTTTTTTAAGGCTCATTTTGAAGTATTTAATACATGTTTGTAAGAGCCTCGGATTCTTTAGACGACGTGACAGTCTCCCAATGTCCCACTCAGCAGTGGCGTGCTTCATGTTTGAGCATTCTAGTCGTTGCTAATAAATTATCTTTTTAAAAAATTTAACTCATTAAAATAATTTTTTCTCTCTCATTGTAAACATAGTAGCCCAAATCTCTGACGACATCTTGAAGCATGTTTATAGTTTAACCAGCACTGAGCATGAAATAATTTGTCTTTACCTGTTGTCCAACTATTAACTGAATCTGCAAGCTTTCTCACCAAGAAGCATGACTGGTTCATGTTTCTATACTACATTTATAAGTAAAGGTCAGTTTTGCAGAACCAGCCAGATGTTACAGCCACCTCTGCTGGACATGAAGCTACATGGATTTGGATTTAGCATCAGATAGTGGACGCCCTTAGTGATGTGAATGACCTACTTTTGGTGAGAGATTCAGTGAACATCTATATCTCAACTTCAAAGAGGTTATTTATTCCTATGAAAAACCTTTTGAAGTTTAGCCTCAGTGTCTGAAAAATAGCTTTTAATTGCTCAAGACAACAAATAGAAACTTTTTTTCTCTCATTAAAAAAATGATAAACAAAAATATATCAGAGTTCAAAAGAATGTTAGGATATCCTGCCCCCTAGTGTTAGTTTGAGAACGTTTCCCCACTGCTGACATTTAGCTGTAAGATGCTTACCGGAGTTTCTTGCATTTACAGCATTTTTTATTCCAGATGTTGATTTTTATTGTTCCTATTCTCTCTGGGAAACTTCATGCAGGTTACGATGCATGGAACCCTCGAATATGACAGCAGTGTAAATGCCTATGTGTGATCAACACAGTTACTTTTGGAATGCATGGTAATTTACCGTGACTTTTATCAGTCACAGTTTATTTATTCATGATGTTTTAAGTGTCTGTGATAATTATTAGAAATCTCTGCACTGAAATGAAATCAAATAGACAATAAAGTCATGTTGCAAAAGCACCGCATTTGTTTATTTGTCTATCAACTGACATGAATAAAACACCTTGAGTTTTGAGGCACCTTAGTGAGGCACTGTGAAGTACCCATGCTTTTATAAACAAATCTAAAATCACAAAAATAACTCTTTAAAAAGCATTGACTTTTCACTTCAAATGAAGTGCCACTTTTAACCCTTTTTCACTTTTGCTTACAACAGTTTTTGCCATCACTTTCAGTAATTATCCCATTTCTAATAACAAATCAATAATTCACAATCAAATCATACTCATAGATAAATATTTTATTCAGTGTAATAATTTAAGCTATTATATGTCTTAAACAAATATACTTTCATGTAAGCATTTTCTTCAAATGAAAATAGATGTTTAGCTTAAGTATTAAATAGTCAACAGCCTTTAAAAAACAAAACATTTATTCATAGAAAATATAAAACCTAAATACTGTATTTTCAAATAAAAAACTTTTTTTTTAGACACCACGCCACAATGACACCATTGCAGCAAATTGCATTTGAAATCCATGTGCATTTGTCAGCAAACCTTAAGTTTCTCCTCATTTGAAGGAAGGTTCTCCAGGTAGTGCTGCACCTTTGCCAGCGTCACGTAGTGCTGGCTGTCAGGGAACAAAAGCTCTCTGGGCTCCACACTCGGTTTGTCCTGGATGGGGCAGTCCAACATTAAGGCAAGAGAGCGCACCCTTGAGTCTAGGCCGGAAACGTCAGTTTGAACCTGACTCAGGAGATTTGTGAAGGGGCTCTGCAGCTCGTCATCTAAATGTCCAAGATAGAGGCTGATGTCAGTTAATCCATTCATGGGTGGAGTGGAGACCTCTATCTGTAGGGGCGACTGCCACAGAGGAGAATAGAAAAATATATGAGTAAATGTTAGCTATCATGCGTTTAGTTGCTATTTCTAATGGGGTAAAGTAACCTTGCTCATAGAAACACATTTAAAACTTCTAATGCTTGAAGGACTAATCAGACCTTATTCTTTAGCTTATTTATGTGGACCAGAGTTATCTGAGCAATTTTCACTATGTCCTCTATGTTGTTTCTGATGGAGTCGGTCTTTGTTGGAAGACTTGAGAACTCAGGAACTGCCATTAGAGAGATGAACAACAGGGCCAGAGGGATGCACATCTTGAAAAATGAACTGGAAAAAAATCATGCAAAGACGTTACAAACAATAGATTAATGAATCTCCAAAGAAACTAATGTTTTTACCTGCTTACATTTTAGCATTTAATTTTAATTCTGTTTTTTTTTAATGCAATTTAAATCTAAGTTGAAAATAAAGTGCTTAAAATGAGATTTTCCCTGATAAAAACAGTCCCTTTGGTCACATCATATAAATCCTTACCTTTGATTTTCAACTTCTGGTTCTCCTCCTGTGGCAGTGAATGAAAGAGATAGCACATCCCTTTTACAGATCTTATTTAAATAGTCAGCTTCCGTCATAAATCCTGTCTGGTCTTGCATGGGTCTTTTCCCCTCCTACATTTTCCCCCTTTGGCTCAAACCTCAGTGTGATCCTGCTTAGGATAATCAGGAAAAAACTTGGAGCGCAACAGTTTTCTTGGTATCAAAGTACTGACTCAATGTTTTGGAACCCACACACATCCTGTGATTTTTGTGGTTTTGGTTTCTGATTTCATCATAATTGACGGGAAAATGTCCCTATTGGGTAGGATAAGATATGATCATGTGACGCTTCAGTTGTAATTAAGGGTGATAAAGGGCAAGGTGAAATTGTTAAAATGCCTGCTTGATCTAAAAAATTAGACCACAACATATAATTTTACCACTTGTAAATTTTGACATACAGGTGAAACAAGATATTTAAATATATTTAAAAAGAGACATGACATGAAAAGGGGCAGTTGCTTAATTGCGAACACCTGTTATGTAGCTGGTAAAAACACCTTGTTTCATTTCAGTATTCACAGGTTCATGTAACTCATCAACTGTAGAAAAAAACTGACGAATGAGAAGTAAAATCCACCTGTTTTATTAGGGTTTTCCAAGAATTTGCTCATCAAAGCAGTTTTTAGGAAGGTTACAGAAGAACAAAAGCGTCTTTTGAAGATTGGAACAAAAAATCTAAAGCATTTTTGCATACGGGATATTGTGAAATGCATTTGCTCACCTCTCCAAATCATTAAATCCAGGTATTTCAATCACTTTTATGATGACAGATGTATAAAACACCACAGCATGCAAACGATTTCTACAATGCATTGGACGCTACCTGTGCAATTAATCCTGTAATGAAAAGTCTTTGCTACTGCATATACTACTGTTGACTGTTGAGGACGTTGAAGTGCAGAGTGGCTAGAGGCTGGATACTTTCTGAAGAGTTGATAGCTACAGACTTCCAAATTTCACGTGGCCTAAACATTAGCTCAAGAACATAGAGTTAGAGAGCTGGAGCCTTACTTCACCAAGCCCAGTCAAGCCATTGAACTTACTGGTGTACTTGAGGGAATAGATATTAAGAACTTACGATTTGGGGGCTCCTATCAAAGAGGACTGAGATAAAAGATCATTCAATCACTTAGTTGTTTGTTTTGTGTATATATTGAACTGGGTAAATGTTACATTATAGAAATATATTTTGAAATTGTCAAAGTCTATATTTTATTATTTTTGGAAAAACATGACTACACTGTGGCTTTGTATTAGAAAGTAGAGTATTTCAGATTTCATTATATGGAATTAGTAAATAGTATTGTGTTAACTGTGGCTCAGTGTGTGCAGTGGTGGTAAACTCGATTATTCATTTGAAAAACTCTTAGACGTTTAGAAATAAGTCTGCTTGGCAACATTTGCATGCATTCCCAACAACATGAGCCAGACTCCAATGCATTCCAACTAAGTGAGATATCTGTTGTTCAGCTGATATCGGCAAGTCTTTAAATAACAACCTGAAATCTGAGACAGTTAAGCTATTTTGCAAGACCTCTTGGAGGTTAGAACATCGTGGTCATTGAAGATTGGATCTTTTGCACATTTTCAAAGTCAGAATAGTTATTTTATCATATTCTAAGTTCATTTTTAATTTCAGAAAAACATTTGGTCTTTGAATCCTCCAAGATTGCGAACAGAAATTTCAATAAGTTTACAACTGTTTTCATTGGGGGAAAAAAACAAAACAAAAAACAAACATCAGACCCCGCAGACAAAAAGCTCTTACACTATAACTTATTTTTATGTGATGTAACAGGGACAAGGAAATACTCAATGTTGAAAAAATAGAAACTGGGAGGAGATATTTATTGGAAGGCAGGATTTAATCCATTCCAGTAAGACAACATGGCAGAGGGCCAGTTTACACTGCCCCCTCATTCACCTTTTTCAGGAAATCACAGTGGTTGGATAAGAGTTACAGGATATGAATCCACAAAAATAAATGATCCCCACTGATGTCTGGCTTGATAAATATGCATCTTCCAAATCTTTAATGTCACAGTCTTTCTTATTTGAATTAAATGAAGTCTGTCAGTACTAAATGCTAAATAATGGCTCCAAACCATGATGTTCCCATCACTGTTGAGGTGGTAGTGTTTTGCCAGTCCTCTTCCTCTTCCACTTTACATTTATGTTCTTCTCCCTCCATCTTTTGAATGTCTTTAATACTTCTTCTGGATCATTCCACTTGTTACATTTAACTACATTTGTGAAAGCGATACTTGGTTGTGATCTGCTTTTTCAACACTTTCAACACTTGTCAATACTTGTTTTCCTTTATCACTGGAGTATCAGGTATCTGATTTCTTTTCTGGAGCAGTGGCTTGACTCAGTGGGATGGACAACAGTGAGTTTGCATTAACATTGGGTAAGATTGCACAACTTTGCCATCAGGAAATAAGGTAATTTTCCAAACATAATTTTTTTTTCATGGTACAAGAGTAACATTCTGAAATGTTTTAGCAATGACGAAGGGCTTTCTGTTGTTGAATTTTTTTGTCCAAACCTTTTACCATAGTTCAGATGCAGCACCAACATTATGGCTTTCCAGCAAAATACATCGCAGTGAGGAAACAATAATAAATATTTTGATAAACAGACCTTTACAATATGTTTCTAGGTGGCATTTCTAACACTTAGCAAACACCATTGCAGTTGTTCTGGTTTTCTGTTTGTATTTCTGACATATGCATAACTTTTTCATGGTTGTAGTACCAAATAAATCCTCTGGAGGGCTATATTCACTCAGGGATTGACAGGATTTTCTGGCAACACTGTCTCTGCACTCCACAGCATCTTTTTCCCCTCCAGTTCTTATGATTTTTTTTCTTCCACCATTTAGAATATCTCACTGCTTTAACCAAAGACCTTGAGGTATCTGGGAAATTTACTCTGGATTTCTGCACATCTCAAGCAAGTCTGAGGTGTTACCTGGAGTCTGCGTTCTCACTTGTAATTAGACTAATTCTCATCTATGTCTATTTCTTCTTCATTAGTAAGACACTCAAAATCTTTTGGAAAATAGAAAGTTTTATTGTGGCAACTATTTTATAAATAAGAAGCCATTGATAAAGAAAAAAAGACATTCAGGAGACAAAATAAGTAGAGAAGCCTCTGTCTTTTGCCTGTGGTTCCAAAATCAATTTACTCTGTTACAAGAGGAAGAAGAGCAAAAGTGCATCCACACCCCACATTTCTATCTGATGACACGGATGAGTCATTGCCCTATTTCCTGGGGCGATGTGTGACACACAAATAGAGGGTGTGTGTTTAAACTGGGAATATCCAGCTCCAGTTAGAAGAACTTGTTCGGTGGCTGCAGGTACCCAGACATGACGTAAAAAAATATTCCACCTACACCTGGTCTGTTCTGTCTCATTCAGAAAGAGGGTATTGTATTTATTTTTTTTCTTTGAGGGAAGTTGGGAGTTTCTCTAATCCTGTAAGGTACATACCTTACAGGATTTGAAATCCTGTAAGGTGTGTAAACTCTAACATTTCTCCTGAAGGCACTTGATTTAATAGAATGGCTCAAACACAAAACAGTCATAAAAAGAGAAAGCATTGCCATGACGAGGACCAGCTGATCTATGTAATATAACCCATTTTCTGCTCCTAATTGTGTTTCCTGTAAAAGAATACCGTTGCTGCTTGTGTGCAGTGTTTATACAGAGTATGCTAACGCTCTGTGAGTAATGACGTCACAAAGTCTTTGTCAAAGCACAAAAAGTGCCTGTGGTTTTGATGTACATAAACTCCACTGTCAAGGCTCATGGCTTTGGATAAATAATCGCATTAATGTAACACATAGTACATCAAAGGCTTCAAGCAACGCATCCATTTTCCCTCCGCTTTTTCATTCACTGCATGCATCCTGTTGGTGGGCTTTCAGAAGGAGGGATGGGGGGCTTCTGTTAATATTTTGCCATGTATTTGAGGTTGCAGTGTGTATTTTAGAGAGTGAAAAAAAGTCACTGTTTACAGTGACTTTCTGATACTAAAAAGTGATACTAAAAATTTGGACCACATTTAAATTGATTTAAATGCATTAAATCATTTTAAATGTGATCTCTAAATCAGGGGTGGCCAGTCCTGATCCTCGAGGGCCAATGTCCTGCAACCCTTAGATGTCTCCCTCAACACACTTGCATTCAATAGCTGAATCACCTCCTAAGTGCAGTCAGGTTCTCCAGACCTCATTATTTCACTCAGGTGCATTGAAGTAGAAATGCATCTAAAGTTTTCAGGAGACCAGTCCTGGAGGCCTGGAGTTGCCCACCCCTGCTCTAAATGGACAGTGTTTCAAATATTTGCACCATAATATACAAATAAGGAAAATGAATCAAAGTTATGTCTGAAAGAAATAAAAATAAATATGAAGCTAGTTGCCTTCTAGATCTTAATATCTATTTGGATTTTTTCAGTGAAATTTCTCTCATGTTCGTTTCTCGAGAGATAGTGAATCTTCAGCCGTCTCTTAATTACACATTTCAGATTTATCATATTATATTATATTATAATATATTTATCACATCATATGCTTATCAAAAGCCACACCCTCTTTCGTTAAGTCTTTTTTAAGGACCAACATCTTCCTCACAGCAAAAGAATCTGAGATGGAGTGAGATAAGTGATGATTCATCAGGGAGGAAGAAGGACGTCTGTTTCAGATGCCAGTATCCACTGCAGATACTTTTTGGGGTAAGGGCTTCCTGGCTACTGGCTTTGGAACAGCAAGCCCAGACCGCAAAAAGACCCACAAAGGACAAAATGTCTGAGATTTCTGTTCTGTTTTCCAAAGGCAGTCTCCTTAGAATCTGGTGGGAAGAAGAGAAACTTTGGATAAATCTGCAGCGACTTATAAGACAGGTGAACTCAAGCAATCAAGACTCACTTATCCTTCATGTGTCAGTAAGCACATTCAGGTAATGCATGTACTTTGCACAAAAGAGGCAATACTTCTCACGTCGGAGCAAGTTTGAAGAGGAAGACAAAACTTTATGGTCATTTCCCTCAGACCTTCTTGCCGCTGCTTTCTCAGACTAAACATAATACATGAAACAGACTTTAATATATTTATAAATACATTTGATTTCTTCTGGAGAGGGTATTTGATTTCCTATTGAATGCCACAGAATTAACTTGTTTTGTGAATATATGATTTAAGGCATGAACTAATGCACACAAAAACACAGTCTATGTTTAAAAGCTGTTAATTCCACTTTTTCAGATTTCTAATGTAGAGGGTGAGTGGATCAACTGTTGTGATGTGAGACTGTGTTTAAGGAGACGTCTTCTATTTTGTTCTGCTCGACATAAGTCAGCGTCTTGACTGACGTGACATTTGTTGTTTTATTTTTGTGTGCAGTCACCAAATAGAACAAAATTTTGGGTTTTTTTTATGTGTCCAATAGATTCTGTGCTGCTGTGGAAGAAAACCGAGATTTGTTTCGAAAGCTGAGATCACAGTGAAGCACTACAAAACATTATCAATGTCCTCCATAGTGGCACACATTCTCTTTTTCATTTTTCATTAATGAAACAGATGAAAACAGATGCTGCCAAACTTCAACAGGAAGACTGATACTGAACAAAAAACTAAATTTGCATACATTGTATGCCATACAATGTTAAATGAGATCCACACACCCTCTGCTTGTTTGGGACTTTGGCATGCAGTTAAACAACCATTTTGTTTTCCGTTGAATCTTTAGCCACCATGATACGAGCAACATCTTTGAATCATGGTTTTTTTTTTTTCTAAAGTTGACACCAGCAGCACGTAGGTCTTGCTGACAAATAAATTGTGTGGAAAGCTTGCATCTCTATATTCAAGATCATCACTGAAAGGAAAGACCAATTGAAAGAATTTGAACACTGGACTGGCAAGTCTCGTGGCGGTTTCATTAAAGCTCATGCGACATGTTTTATTCTGCTAATTGCTAACAATCTGAAGTGGACCGCATTTACTGATTCAGCAACTGTTTTTGTTATTCTAGCAAAAATGGCAGCGACAGATAAAGATTTACTCTAAACTCCCCCGATTGGCTTTAAAACGCAACTATTTTTAAACGCGGTAAATTAAATTAAAGGTTTAAGGAGGAATGCATTTATATAAACAAACAAACAAAAAAAACCACAAATAAGTTGCACATCTTATCACTTTATAGTAGCATTTTCCAGAATTACTACAAGTATTTTTAAGAATGAAAGTCAAATTTCAGCTTTACAACAACCATTACAACACAAGCAAACAAAAAAACGCCAAAAAAACTTCCAACATCCCTGAAGACAAATCAAATAAAATCACAATACAGCTGCTGTTAACACCTTTTTATGAAAACATTTAGGTGCAACCTCACATCCTGAAATACATTGGCTGGTTTTTGCTACTAATGGAAAAAATCGCAGTGGTTTACACTTTGTCACATCTTTAAAAATTTCAAAAATAAACATTTAATCTATGTAATATGTTATAAATGCTTCTTTTATGCTACTAACATGTTGTTATATTTTTGATTACATTTTTTTTACCCTTATTGTTATCCCTTTTGTTGCTTTAAGTTATATAACTCACTTTTTTTTTCTTTTATTATTTTAATGACTTTAGAAACACGGCATAAAAACCCCCTCCTCATTTCAATGATTTTGTTATTGTGCAAAATAAATTTCTTCCCCTTTATGACCTCTCATGTAGAGGTCATCACACCAAAGAGGGATGCTTTAGTCTTAGCTACCTACGCAAAAAGGTCTGAATTACTTGGATTAATTCAAGAATAATAAGAAAATAAAGGCCTGAACTGAGAATGCCAACAATAAGTGGTTTAAAAAATGAAGATCGGTTAAAAAGAGGTCTGATCGTGAAGGTGGCGTGTATTGAGGATGTACACAGCCACATTTGGAGGGGCCTTTGGATGGACGTGGACCAGCAGACTGGACCATTTGCTCACACACGCTTCTCACCACATTCATATATAGGAGGGGGGGGAAAAGAAGAGTTACAAAACTGTCTCCTATTCATTTTTTAAATTATTACAATCATTCTGTCATCCTCATTATTGCCTCTATTGATTCTTACAACCAGTGCATCTAAGCACTCAGTTTTAGGTACACCCTTGCATCAAACAATGATTAGCAAATAAAAGGGAGAGTCCTCTCCATGGTCCAAAGACACTCTGAGCTGTCCAGGGTGCTGAAACCAGCTCGGTCTGCGATCCAGGTTTATATAAAAGAGTATAGATTCATAAAATAAGGTGCATGCAGTCAAACTGGTGAAAGCAAGAAAACCCACCAAAAACGTTAAATACATCCAGAAATAAAACCCAGAGGTCGTTCCTGTTTGGGGCTTAAAGGCGCCAAACAAAACAACAGGCCAGACCGGATTGCTTCCCCACAAATTGACACTTGTTGCCAAAACGCGTTGATATCCGCAAAGTGGGCAAGTTTGTGCGTGAAACTCGGTGTACTGTGAGTCTTTCTGTGGTAAAAGAAGTAACGCAACTTCAAACGCGCACGACTGCATCCCCTCTTCCCCCCACACTCCACCCCATCATCACAATCACACAAACACACACGCACACACAGAGAGAGAGAGAGAAACAGAGAGACGCGTGAAAAGTAGCCTTTTGGTGTGACGATCAGTTTCTCCCTGAGATAATCCTGAATCTTTGATGTTTTTTGGTTGTTTTTCTGTCTGAGGCGATGCAACACATTAGATGACTGGCGTCTCAATTAGGCGGCAGAGCAGAGCCTTCCTTTCTGCTCCACACATTTACAGTGAGCCCGTCAAAGAAATGCAGCTGCGGATCGCCTGTAGCGGAGACGTTTCTCCCCTCGGAGTGACGCTGTAAACACAGCAGTGATGCGTCGTTTCATCCGGACGCGGAGTTGCTGTTGTGGACCTGATGGAGCTCAGCTCGACTACAAATGTGCCTTAATCACGAAGAATCGCAATCAACTCGCTGGAAGTCAACACTTTCGCTCTAATCTGTTTCTCTCTCTCTTCTTCTTCTTCTTCTTCACATCAACACGTCTCTCTGGTGGCCACTCAGGTTCTAACGTCAAAACTCGGGGATACATTTCTCAATGTGAACTGTTCATGAGAACGGAAAACAGAACGACGGCTTGTTGTTTTTACTCACTTCAGCGACAAGCCAATAATGTAGCAGTAATAATAATAATAATAATAATAATAATAATAGACTCACCCAGTCGTCACCGGTGCGAGGCGGCCCGACCTCCCTCTTCACCCCCCATTTTCCCCTCCAATAATCCCTGGGAATTTGAACGGCTCCCATTGACATGCAGCAGTTGGGTCCCCTCAGCACCAGCGCCACCCCTCCACCTCCACCCTCTCACCCGCCCTCAATCATGTCTCTTCCCAGACGTCAGTTGCATCGGCTCCCGCTCATTTCGCTCCGCGTTTGTTCACTTTCTTCGTCGGCGCGTTTCTCCGGTCCTAATCTGTTTACATGGTCCCGCTTCTCCCCCGTCTCTGGAAAATGCTGCAAAACCTCAAATGGAAGCCACTCAATTCCTCCAGTCTGCTTCTTGCTGGTGACCTGCATTGACGTCATTGCGTCATTAGGTTTCCCCTGGAAACACGGGAGAGCCAAAAATAGAAACGCATTAATTCAAACCCCAGGCTGGGGTAAGGAGGTTTGGGGTAACGGGGTAGATGAGGGCTGGATTTGGCGACTATTTATTTCTATCAATCTTTAATCTGACCCTCTCATCCCTGCGGGAAACACACGCACATTTACTGACTGCTCTTTCCCCCAGTAGTTTTTTATTCTTAAACAAAGACATGCATATCTAGTTTTGCTATTTTAGAATCACCATTAGACATCCAAAAACGGTTTTAGTTTTACAAACTGAACCAAGTAATTAATCCCAAATACAGTTTTAGGTTGTTTTATTAAATCATGTTATTTGTTCTGTTATTCATTTGCTTGGGAAAGTTGAGTAAATTGCACAAACATCAGATTTGAACACAAATCCATAATTGTGATAACATTCGGATGAGCACATTGTGAAGACTTTTGGGGAAACTGTGTCCATTCTTCTATACATTGTCCAAATTCAAACTTAAACAAATATATTTTAAGGTTTGCATTGTTTTTACGATTGCTGTGGAAGTATTTTGGACCCTGTGATAGGTTTTCTTCAAAATGATCCTGTGTTTTATTTCACTTCATTTCAAATCCATTCAATTCAAAAATACTTTGTCAATCCCAAATGTAAATTAAAAGTTGTTGTAACTCTCTTTAACCAAGGTTCTTTAAAGAGTTGTCGATGCTGATGGGTGAGGGCAGCAAGGATCTCCTATAGCAGCCTGTATTACAGAACGTCTTAAGAGGCCTCTGACTGAAGACACTTTGGTTGTGAAGCAGTCCCGGAAAGAAATGCAATTTCTTTCCGAGGTTCCACATATAGTCCCCAGAACAGAACCAGGTTTCTTTATCAGATTGTTTAGTCTTTTTAAGTCCCTGGGTCTGTGCTGCTACCTCCCAACAGATGAATATTTGAACCAAGGAATTGCTTTTTCCAGTTAAACTTCCTCCCTTTGGGTTCCTTGGAACATATGTAGTCCTTTCAACAAGTTCTGAGACTTCAGTGTGCACCAGGTGTAGACAAAACCATTCATTTGTAGAACAGACTAAAAACCTGTC